CCCTTTATGGACTTGCCGAAACAGTGTCCGCTCGATATCTCGAGTAATTATTAACGGATTAACTTCAAACTTCCCAATAAGGTTAATTACCATGAAACCTCAGACAAGCTCGAAAACCGCCATTATCCGACCATAATTTGTGGAGTTATGCCCCTTCATGGACATCTATAATTTATGACGAGGTTAATTTCCGTAGAAGCTTGGACAAGTTTGATAACCATTATTATCCGACCGTAATTATTGGAGTTATTCCCCTTGGTTTCATTAATGCGATGCATGCGTTCCATGATGTTGTATTGCACTCATTGATCTACCAGTTATGTTGAATGATTTCTCTTTTAATATCAATTTCTCACAAATACTTCATATATTTCAATCATACAAACAACTGCTCATTCAATGTGTGACGGGCGTATTATATACCGCTCGTGGTAACCTTGTTCTTATTGAAATTGAATTTAGCTGGGTTCTTCTTAAAAAAAAAGTTTATCCTTGAACATGACTACTAAGCCGCATTCATGGAGTTAAGACTTGAAATGTGTTAATTTCCAAAAAAGCAGAATTCATCCCGACAACTCCACCACTCCCTAAGACTGTACCACTCCCGACGACAGCACCACTCCAGACCACTGCACCACTCCAAACAAGCACACCACTCCCGACAACTGCACCATTCCAGACCACTGCACCACTCCAGACCACTGCACCACTCCAAACAAGCACACCACTCCCGACAACTGCACCATTCCCAACAACTGCACCACTCCGGATGACTGCACCACTCTGACAACTGCACCACTCCCTATGACTGTACCACTCCCAACAACTGCACCACTCCAGACCACTGCACCACTCCAGACCACTGCACCACTCCAGACCACTGCACCACTCCCGACAACTGCACCACTCCCAACGACTGCACCACTACCGATGACAGCACCACTACCGATGACAGCAACACTCCGGACGACTGCACCTCTCCCGACGACAGCACCACTCCAAACGACAACACCGCTATCGATGACAGCACCACTCCCAACGACTGCACCACTCCAGACCACTGCACCACTCCAAACAAGCACACCACTCCTGACAACTGCACCACTCCAGACCACTGCACCACTCCAAACAAGCACACCACTCCCGACAACTGCACCACTCCCAACAACTGCATCACTCCCGATGACTGCACCACTCCCAATGACTGCACCACTCCCAACGACTGCACCACTCCCAACGACTGCACCACTCCCAACAACTGCATCACTCCCGATGACAGCACCACTTCTGATGACAGCACCACTGCAGATGACAGCACCACTACCGATGACAGCACCACTCCTGACGACAGCACCTCTATCGATGACAGCACCACCCCGGATGACTGCACCACTTCTGATGACAGCACCACTACCGATGACAGCACCACTCCAAACGACAGCACTGGTATCGATGACAGCACCACTCCCGATGACAGCACCACTCCAGATGACAGCACCACTCCCTATGACAGCACCACTCCAGACGACAGCACCACTACAGATGACAGCACCACTTCCGATGACAGCCCCACTACAGATGACAGCACCACTACCGATGACAGCACCACCCCGGACGACAGCACCACTTCCGATGACAGCACCACTACTGATGACAGCACCACTCCCGACGACAGCACCACTCCAAACGACAGCACTGGTATCGATGACAGCACCACTCCCGATGACAGCACCACCCCGGACGACAGCACCACTTCCGATGACAGCACCACTACTGATGACAGCACCACTCCCGACGACAGCACCACTACAGTTGACAGCAACACTTCTGATGACTGCAAACGCACTTGTCCCAGTATTTATAGTAAATTGCATAATTGACTGATTATCAATATCTTTCTTAGCAAGAAAATCGCTAGGATAAAAGCAATATTGTAAAAAGCGTCCAATTAATCATATAAAGCCGCATTCATATAAAAAAAAAATGATAAAAAAACGGAATACTTTTGTGTTTAAAAAAAATATTTGATAAAAAGTGACAGAAGCAATTTATGTATTTTTAGGTGAAAAATGGGTAATTATAATTGGTTTGTGGAAATTTACAAGAATTTAACACCTTACTTTTTAGGTCACCGGAGACGAAGTGACCTATTTATTGCAATGGCCTTTTGTCTGTTGCCATCTATCTGTAAACAATTTATATTTTCAATTTCTTCTCATAAACCCCGAAACCAATTTCAATGAATTTTTGCAGAAGCAATCCATGGCCAAAGGTCAACCAAAATTGTGAATTATATGTTGTTCAAGTAAGCCCCTCTACAAGTGTTTAGATTTAGTGCTGAAGTTTGGGGGAATTTGTGAACCATTTTTAGGCTATAATTTCTGAATTGAATATGGTTCAAAAGACAAAGAAGGGTTTATTTATGGACAGTTAGGGGCTTATTTGTAGATAAATATGTGCTTGCTTTACACATTTAAAACATCATGTTAAAATTGCATTTCAGAAAAGTCCAATTGTGATGGCCAGAAAAAAACAAAAGTAAGCAAAAAAGCAAGTCCTGCAGCAACATGTAAGTACCCATTATTTGATAAGTAAGACATTTATTTGTAACCCTTTTCATTGATTTGAAAATAAAATGAACATTACACTATCTTTAAGCCCTATTATATATGATAAACTGTCATTTATTTAGCTATTAATGGTGACTTATCATATTGGAAGTGAATCGCCTGTTTAAGATACTTTCACAAGTAAACAACTTCTTTTTCCTTACAAGCAAGATATTGCAACAATTCCAAAGTTCAGAGTTGCAGAAGGGCTATTTCATAATTGATCGACCAGTGGGAATGGGAGTCGCTTGAAAGTTTGATGAGTGCTTAGATAAAGTAGAATAATTATTGCAACAATGCTTTGAAGAGATAACTTCAGGGGGTGTTAGGCGAAACAATAAAAGTACTCTTGCTCTTGAACTAATATTGGTTGGTGGGGAAGAGTGTAGAATAATTCTGAAATAGCACTAAACCTTATATCACCAGTGATTTTAGTATTAATGTTTGTATTTTTTTGTTTCTTTCCAGCAAAACCGATTTACTATGTCGGAAAAATTTGGATATGAAAAAGGAGAACAGAAAGCAGTATTTTCTCATTAAATGGTTGGACTTTCCAGATACTGACAACACATGGGAACCACAAAAATATTTACCACCAAAATTAGTAGACAATTTTCTTAAACATTTATGAATTGTTCTTCATTTTTGTATGCCAAAACATACTGTTTGTATACAATACACAAGAGGATATGTGGCATTTGTAACATAAAAACCAAAACATAAACACCAATATTGGTTAGGATTTGTAGTTGACAATAAAAAAATCCAAGAGTCAGAGATGTTGGGACTAATGTGCAGACAATAAAATAATGATTACATAATTTATCCCACTTTGAAATTATATAGAATTTACGTAACAAAGAATGATTTGTAGATTCAAGCTTGAAGCATTATGTGGATAAAAAGTCAATTCATCCCTATATATGAACTTGTATATATCCTAGTGGACAAATTATGCCAATTATACTGAGTTAAATTGTCAACTTTAGTGTTTGTCAAGTTTAGAAAATTTACAACACAACTTCCAGATACCCAGTTCATGCAAAATAAGAACTCAATGTATATATATGTACAGGTCAGTTTTGAAATTGTGCCATGAATGTATAAGAATTCAGAGAAATTGAGCTGATCCTCCTCCCCAGTCCATCACTCAGAAGTACAATCAGTTCATGTATATTGTCACAGATCTTGTAAGTTCTGAATGTTATGGTATATTCTGGCTGAGTAATACTAGAATGTGACAAATGCCCATATAAAAGTGTATACAGTGAATTATTTCACTTATCTACATTACATTATAAAAGTGTATACAGTGAATTATTTCACTTATCTACATTACAACATTATAAAAGCGTATACAGTGAATTATTTCACTTATCTACATTACAACATTATAAAAATGCAATGATTCAAGTACTAGGTACATGAGTTAATGACTGATAATATGCTAAATTAAGTAGAACTACAACACTGTAGAAGATGTGGACTGATTGTGAAGAGCTAGTTCTCAGGTAGCCCTGCCCATTTGAAAGCAATGAAGCAAAAGAATTAAAGAAGTCAACTGGCCAATGGTTAAGGTCAAAAGGTCAAGGATCAAGGTCTTCAAGTTGAAGAATAAAGTGTTAAGGTCAAATTTTACATAAAGGCCAAAGCAATTGAATTTAAAGGTCAAGTCAAGTTTTGGATAATTTAACCTGATAACATTTTTATACACCAGTCAAATTTGACGGGAGTATTATGGTATGGCGTTGTCCATCCGTCCGGCGTAAACTTTTGTTTGTCCGGCAATCTCCTCCCACATTTTTTGTCCAATCTCTTTGAAACTTGGTATGCATTATAAACTTAGTAGGCTAAATAATCATGATATAATCAAGTTATTGCCCTTTGTTTATTTCAGTATTTAATTTTTTTGCCGGCAATCTCCTCCTACATTTTTCAACGGATCTGTTTGAAACTTAGTAGGCTAAATAATCATGATATGTTGTTGTGTTTCCTTGAAAAGAATTTTGTTTCAACAATTTTTTCAGTATTTGATTTTTGTCCGGCAATCTCCTCCTACATTTTTCAACGGATCTGTTTGAAACTTGGTATGCATTAAAATCATGATATGCAGTTGTGTCTCCCTTAAAAGAATTTTGATTCGACAATTGTTCCAAAAGTTATTGCCCTTTGTTCATTTCAGTATTTGATTTTTTTATCCGGAGATTTTCTCCTACATTTTTATAGCATGTCAGCTAACCACTCTTTGAATGATGCAGATCTTATTTCAATGTAAGAGAGTATATAAAACTACATGGCATTCAATGGGCATATATTGTTCCGCCCAGCGGTACTCTTGTTGTAATATGAAACTATAAATGTTCGTCAGGATTAAAAAACGACAAACCAACGGTAAAGTTATTGGGTTCAATGGTCAAGGTAATTTTTTTCATTGATAACAATTTTGTTATGTCATAATGCATAGTTGGTAAGAATCCAAAGAAAAAGAAATCAACTTATAAGCTATCAAAATTGCTAAAAATTGAATGTGACATTAAGATCAAACAGGGCCCTTCCTGATAGATGTCAATGTTCTAGTTAACACGTAAGTTTGTTCAAAAAAGGTAAAGGTATTTTTGTGCAATGAATTATATTACAAGGAATTGCGACTCGCCTCAATCACCTGACACTTGCACCCTTAGTCTGGCTAATATCAGCTTGTATTCTAATTATAACTCCCCATTCAATAATTGCTCAAAATTTATATTTTTTTAATTACATGTTGATGAGGCAAGCAAATTCCATTAATGTCAGTGGAGTATATAATTTTGGCTCACCTGGCCGAAGGGCTAGTGAGCTTATGCCATGCCGCGGCGTTCGTCGTCGTCCGTCAACTTTTCCTTTTAACAACTTCTTCTGAAGAATGGACAGGCCTAGAGTTATGATATTTGGGTGATAGCTTCGTTGGTAGAAGCTTGACAAAGTTTGAAAATGAAAATGACCTTGACCTACTTTCAAGGTCACAGCAGTCAAATATGTCAAACGCTTCAAACGACTTCTTCTGAAGAATTTAAAGGTATAGAATCCTCATAATTGGCTGGTGGCTTCCTGAAATGGAGCCGGACAAAGTTTGAGAATGAAAATGACATTGACATACTTTCAAGGTCACAGCTGTCAATTATGTCAAACACTTTAAACGACTTCTTCTGAAGAACGAAAAGGTATAGAACCTTCATATTTGGCTGTTGGCTTCAGAAGATAGAGCCGTAGAAAGTTTGAGAATGAAAATTACCTTGACCTACTTTCAAGGTCACAGCGGTCAAATATGTCAAACGCTTCAAACGACTTCTTCTGATGAACTAAAAGGTATTGAATCTTCATATTTGGCTGGTGGCTTTCTGGATTGAGTCCAACAAAGTTTGAAAATGAAAATGACCTTGATGTTCTTTCAAGGTCACAGCGGTCAAATATGTAAAACACTTCAAACGACTTCTTCTGAAGAATTAAATGGTATAGAATCTTCATATTTAGCTGGTGGCTTCCTTGGATGGAGGCCGTTTAAGTTTGAGAATGAAATTGACCTTGACCTTCTTTCAAGGTCACAGGTGTCAAATATGTCAAAAACATCAAACGGCTTCTTCTGAATAATCGAAAGCATAACATTATAATATTTGGCTGGTAGCTATTTGGGATAGAGCTAACAAAGTATGAGAAGGAAAATGACATTGACCTACTTACAAGGTCACAAGGAAAAATATGTCAATGTCAATTCTGAAGAAGAACCAAAAAGCATAGAATCTTATAATAATATTTGGCTGGTAGTTTCAAAAGATGGAGCCGACAAAGTTTGCGAGGGAAATATTTGTAGTGCAATATAATATTGAATGAGACTATTTTGCTATGACTGCTTAAATATTCAGGTAAGCGATACAGGCCCTCTGGGCCTCTTGTTTTATAGTTTGCATCTCAATAATATTAGTAATCGAATGAAATGGTACCTTGGTGTAACTGGTACCTTTTGAGCCTTGGCACTTTTTAGCTCACTTGGCCCTTCGAGCTTATGCCATGGTGCGTCCGGCGTCAATATTTTACTTTAAACAGCTTCTTCTCAATAACCAAAAGGCCTCTGATGATGATATTTGGCCAGAAGCAAACGGGGATGAAGGGCTACCAAGTTTGTTAAAATAAATGACCTTCACCTATTTCCAAGGTCACAGGGGTCAAATATGTTATAACCAAAAGTCGCAGGATGATGATATTTAGCCAGTAGCATGCTGGGATGGAGG